TTGTGGATATATTGTAAAACTAGGCTTTTTTACTGTGTTAGCACAATCTATTTTCAGGGACAAACATGAGCACCATTTATACATTGTATGTTTTGTGAAATTCTAAAGTAAATTAAAAACCTATGGAAAGATGAGTAGTTCTTAGCACTTGTAAACTTCTTGTAAGAAAGAAATATGTTCAAACTTTCCACGTGACTATTTTGAGTTGAAATGGGAATGAAGAGGTTAAGAAAATATAATCATGATAATCACAGTGAAAATTACCCTTTATTTCAGTGTACACGCATAGCATTTTAAATTCGCAGAAAGGATAAAAAAGATTCAGAAGAACATTACTATCATAATACAACTAATGCGAAACAACCATTTTGCAACGTTGACTCATGAAGGTGGGAGCATTTACTGATGAACAAGTTTCACCACCTAACTTGATGTGACATATTAGCCAATGTGGAATTTGGGTGTAAGAAGGTTCATGGTGAACATACCAAGACATCACAGCCGACGAGCAATCCTCTCACTGCTGGTATAAGCCGTGTGTGATGGCATACACTGCGTGGCTGAGGTTCTTAAGATAATCATCATCATCATCAAAATCAACAACAAGACCAGGTAATAATGCGTAACGATTCGAGTTGCCACAGCTCATATTAGTACTTCAAGTAAAAAGGCAGTGAAGTGGAAGATGAAGAAAAGAAAATTCAGTCTAGAGAGATATAAAGTACTAAAAGAAAGTAAAGAAGAATGAGAAAGTGGTGAGATTCGGTATAGCATCGTTAAGATGAGGATAATGTGTGCATACATCTGTGCCACTGACATCTGTTCTAAGCCATATCACCTATAGTCTTCAACCACTGGTTTCTCTTGTCCTTCGGATCCCAACCGGCTAGTCAGCATCGCCCTACCTGGCTCGAACCAACAGTCAAAGACTTCATACACTGATGCCATATTTTAGTCTGCCACCCTGGGCTTTTTTCCTGCCTAAGATAATAGGAACCAATGGTTGGCGAATTTCGGTGATACCACTGAAAGTTGGCAGCACTGCACAGATGTATTCACTCTTCGACGGCCTCTAAATTTCGAACATTTTTGCTAACCTTCCTTTATTTGAAACAATGCGTCCCTTTTATGAATTTGGATAATGTAATTAGAAGACTTGGATTATCTGAAAAATGTGATGTAATAGCGCTATACATTTTGAACAATCTGATCACACATTTACTTGTGAAGGTATTACATATGAAAACTGGAAGTGGGGGAAGGACAAATATGACATCAAGGAATTCAATAATAAGAAAGATAATGAGGGGAATAAAAGATAAGATTTGAAGACAATCTTGGTAATACGATAAAATAAGCATTACCAAGGTAGGTTCAATGTAAGGACAAACTGTTTTTGCATACACAATGGGGAGGGGGTAAATTTATTTATGGCTAGCGCCTCAACAAACTTAAGTATACGCCCCTGACGGTTTCTGTACAAAATTGTAAAGGCTGTTTTGATATCAATCCTGTGACTCTTATCAATGATATGTTTTGCAGTGGATGATGATGGTTGTCTGCCATCTGCGCTTTCCCCCCCCATTATCTTTCTTATTATTGAATTCCTTGATGTCATATTTGTCCTTCCCACACTTCTAGTTTTCATATATAATGCCTTAACAAGTAAATGTGTGATCAGATTGTTCGAAATGTATAGCGCTATTACATCACATTTTCCAGATAATCTACGTCTTCCTTTATTTGTTCTCTCTCCTCTCACAAACTGTTGTCCACTTTTGTTTCAGTCTTTTTCGACCCACTCATTCTTTGCATGCTTTTGTGAAGTTTCGTAAATTGAACCGATTCACATCTTTATGAATTTCCACGATGATTTGTTTATCTGTCTAGATACACTACCGTTGGTCTTAATGAATAATTTCTCAAATACGCGGTACGTATAAATTGTCATTAGTGAGATAACTGGCAAGCTGTAAATTTAATTTTCATCATGTAAACTTGATACTAATGAGTATTTGACTAATCCTGTTCAGTCTTACTTCAGATTTAGGCTACGTATCATTCTCATTGTAAAGAAATTCAAAATGCTAAATATTTGATGAAACATTTTAGGAAAAGCAACGATTTTAAAGCTAATACGTGTGACTGACAGCTGTGTATATTTAGCATTTTTTTGAAATCCATTTTTTACTGGGGAACCACTTACACATCCATAAGTTATTGCAGGATGTACGCTTTTTCTTTTCCCTTTGGCATTTCACACTTACATTCACAATAAGATATGATATTTTTACAGTTATTTATATTGGCGTAGTTAATCTTCGGTAACTTTCAAAGCTAAAGTTCCTTGCAAGCTTTAAAAAGGAAAGTTGACATAGCTGGATGTTTAGTTATCGTTATCTCTAGTATACCACCATAGAAAATCTGATAAATCTTTGGTAAAACAATTAGAAAACTAATATCCGTTCACTACTGTTCGGATGAGAATGTCTTTCATTTCTTCAACATTCTCAAACCGATAGGTTCATTTTATAGATTAACAAAATTCGAAGCGGAAGTGTTAGGCTACTATTTTAGTTTACGTTTGGTGGGTGGTTCCCGCCTACGCATTAATGTTTGAATCTTGATGTTAACCAATGGATGAAACAAACTATGGAAAGCAAAAGTAAGAGAATATAATCGCGAAATCAGCCCCTCAGCGAAATGGTAGTCAATCTGGCATTATTTGAATGAAGAAAATCAAGCAAAAAACTGTTATTGTTTTGCTTCTCAATTCTAGAAGAAAGCCATTTTATCAGACAGGAAAATAAACTAAGGTTTGCTTGTGATTATAGGGAAAGAAAATTTTTCTGACGAAGAATTATTTTGCATTATTTCGATTGTGTAACAAACGAACAGATGTCACGTCAAGCTTTAGCATAAGTTAACTGAAGTTGTGTTCTCACTAGATCCCTTCAATTTTCATCCTTGCACACAATGGGGCTAAATAGTGACTTTGCGTAACCTTTTCACAACCGTTTATTACTATGGTGCTTTGTAAGATGTTTCACTACCGACCCGTTACAAGTTGAGTTTTATTTGCAAACCAATTGTGCTTCTTTTACCTACGACATCATTGTGGTGGGTTGTGCATATACCATGAACCATGTTCATTCATTAGACCAAATATTTCTGACAAAATTCCTGCTAAAAAGTTGGTCGAAAAATCTCTTAGCCTATCATCATCCTATAGATTAGGTAGCCAGGTGTCGAAGTTTTCAACTCACTGATTTAGAGCTCTAGATTTTATAAAGTCAGTTTACTTGCATTTCTAGACACCATGTCTTACCAGGCCTCTTAAAAGCACTGATTTCTGTAAGTAAACTAAATTCCACACTAGTTTCATTTTTCTATCACCTTCACTTGCATTTCATAAATGTTACAAATTTAAAACTAAACTTTCTCATCAGCAGTTAACAAATAAGTTGTCTGCAAAACGAATATTCAAAGAGGATAAATTTTTGTCAGTCAGCACAATTCATACCCTTGAGGAATGCTTCTTTATAATAGAACCGGAAATAATGTTCAGTATGATTTTACAAGTTGTTAAACTTGCGCCAACAACTCTCTCAATGAATCAATAATTTATCAGCATCGCTGCGAATCATTAATTGTATATTAATGACGGATAGTGGCTAGCAGTGGAATCCAGGATGTGTGTTTCATCCTTTTCGAAACTCGTCAGCTGGGTGTACCCGCCTCCCAGGGAGTGATGTTGTTCCCACCTGGACTCGGACCCGGGGCCGGTTGCTTCAAACACCAGGACTTTATCCACTAAACCACCGAGCCACGATCAACTAATGTATCATGTTTAATTTAAGCAATGCTGGAACTAAAATTTAACTAGAAAACTTAAAGTCACTTTTGATTTTTACTAATTTAACACTTACCACTTAAAAACCATTCTAAAAATTATTCTTAGAGATAGAAGTTGGTAATAAGCAGCATAATGTTCCACTTTGAAAGCAGCTTCAATTAACAATTAACTGTTTAAGTAATCAAGTCGTCTGAGGCAAAGTTGTTTGAGAGGTTGGTGTATTTCGGTCCGTCTTCAGAAGCAGTCAGCTGATCAGACTACCATTCAATTATCAAATTCTTCTATCTTGTAAAGTCGGTCTTGACAACTAAGTTTCCGACTTCATCCTCGAATTATCAGGATATGAATCTTTAGAAAAAACCCTGTCTTCTGAATGTTGAAGATACATCTTGCTGCTAGATGTCAACAAAACAAAGCCTCAGTTGAGTGGAGTTTCCTGGTGAACTGACTCACAACGATAACTACATTTTTATACTGAGATGGTTAAATTTAAAAGAGAGGTGGAAAAGGGTTTCATTTTACACGCTGGTATGACACTCTATCAGTTGACTTCAGAAGTGTAGCTGTTAATAAAATTTAACGACTATCCATGTTACCAAATATTGTGTCCAGATGTAGTGCAACTTATAAAAACTGCTTAGTTTGTGTTATTGTCTTTTTTCTGCTAAGTTTATTACTGAAAAACTGAAACTTAATTTTTTTACTTTATCTCGTCTAAAAGTTTTAGAATAAATTATATTTTTCTCCAGAGTTGTTTTATTTGATGTCATCATTGATATCTATGTTCAGGGCATAATAGAGAAACATGACCATTCTCGGGTACAAAGAATGTAATTTTGGTTAGTCTTCAGTGAGACTTGGGATGAAATTTAGTGTCACTAATTAGACATCGATTTGAAGGAAACCCACAATGCTTATCTATGAAGGTTTTATAATATATGGATGAAAATGTAGGGAGAATTTATCGACCGACAACGAATAACTGAAAATAATCTCTTGAATATTGAAATAGACTATACTTTTTAATGACAGCTGAGTTGCAGTGAAAATAATTCTAGACCTTTTTTAATAACACTTTAACCCTTCGCTTCGCTTCAAATTGGGAGTTAAATAAACTACTTAATTCATTTTTCTGAATTTTTAGCACATCAGTATTATGGACAATATCAATGTACTTGCAAGACCACTGATAGTAAGAATTCACAACTTTTGTCTCCGCCCACAAATCTTCAACCATCGGATTTCGATCAAGGTAAATACATTAAACATCATTCGTTCTCCATTTCTACCGGTTTTCAACTGTTTCAACATTGAAAACTGTTTCTTTATTTCATTATTCTTAATTGTTTTACAGGTGATTTTTCATAGTTCTACACGACTGTTGCAGTTGACATGTAAGAATGAATATTTACAAATCCTGATATCTCCTTAAGTATATCAAACTGACATAGAAGTATTTATGTATTATATTCTTAAGGTTGTGACAGTTTAGAAGCTAGTAAACACCAGTTGTTTTGGTGACATGTTTCACTGTCAATCCAACTAACATCCTGAAGTCAGCTTTTAAAGTTTGGTTGGCTTAATTCCCTTGTCAATGGATTTGTTTTATATCTGTTTAGTTCTACAAGTAGCTAGCCTTTTAGCTAAGTTACAATCACAGGGAATACATTTCTAATTTTTATGAAAACAATATTTTAAATCAACTGTCCTTCATACCAGTAGACAAACAAAGTCTATTTCAACGTGTCTTTTGAGCATTTTATAGCCTAAGCGTTCATCTCAAGGCATCATTCCACACTTTATCACCAATAATATACTGCTTGGACCACTCGTTAATATCCGAAGTGGCATTTATCTCTCTGACTGCAGTGCTATACTCATGTCTATCCTACATGGTAGAAAAATGATCAAGTACAGGATCAATAGGATAGTAGAATATGATGCGAATTTTTACAGATTATTACAAGTCATAAACTTAGAAGAGCGTTGTTTATTTCGGAATTAGCACTCGTGATTTGGTATTAACAAATACCTTTCTTTTGATTTCAATTTTTCTATTCGTCTTTCTATTTCGACCAATTGTGCGGCTGTAGTATACACCCTACCCTGTAAGTATATACTTGGAACACCTGTTATAAACATGTAACTTCTCTCAGCAATCTTGTAAGACGGAAGCAATGCTAATATAAGAAGGAAGAAATAAAAACTATTGAGCGAATTGTCCAACAACCAGTGCCCCAATTTTACCAAAATGTAAGCCTACGGCAACATTTTAATTAACTGTTAAACGTTACACAACTGGTAGTAAGTAGCTGATGGTTTCTAAAAAGTTCCAGAATTGTTTTTTCATTTGCCGTGGTGATGAAAGTGTAATCCGTGATTAGCATTAATGATTTTCAAGAGAAGTATCATTTTGGGTAATTCACTTCGTTCCTAGATTAGTTTTTATAAAAGCAAGTGTGAGTTTAATAACCTCTTTCCAAGTGCAGCAGAACTATAGATGTCGTCTCCTCTAAGGCCTAGTCTTATCTCACATTGATATTTATAGACTGTTGTATATGCATATATGGTACATTCCTCAGAATATATATATCATACTGAGATTTCTAAATGAACTAATAAGTTGAAGAAATACTTGTTGATTCGATAGATTCCTCTCAAAACAGTGTACATCTTTGGGTATTTACTTCACCAGTTTTCATTCGACTGGAACTATCTGGAAAGATATTGAGGAATATCATTTCTACTTCAGAAAGAAGTGATTGTTTAAGGCTGAAAACTCATTTCGAATTCTTAACCTTCATTAGTTGATTGTATCACTTTCCTTGGCAGCTTACCGCAATATAACTTGTTTTAAAAATATTTCAAATATGGCCAAAAAAGATGTTTTTCAAGAAGCATTCAGCACTTTCCGCTGATATCACCGAAACTGAAGATGGTTTGTCAAAGTTACAACACAGAAAGTGATGTGTCTGATTCTCTCTCACCTGTAGGTCACTTAGTTATTTGTTCAACCATTCATCAGTGATGATCTGGAACAAGTTAACATAAGAGCAAGTACCGAATAGTCGCTTATATTTTCTCTATATTTACAAACGTTTTTCATTCATAACTACCGTCTTCGACAGGTAATGCAAGTAGTTCCACTGTTGTTTTGTTGTTCTTCAACCTTAGATTTCATATTTCAAAAGAGTTATACCGCCGTATTTGTTGAGCAAAATATCGAACCGCATGGAGGATTCATTGAATTGCCAGAAAATGACCAAGAAGGCTATTTCAAGCTATTCGTAGTCGGTCATAGTCTTCTGAAGGATATCCATATGGTAGTGACATCTACAGAAGGTGGACAACAAGGAAATAGAACAGACACGGTAAGAATGATGCTTATTGTCTTCATTATTATTGGTCAGATTCATTTATAAAAATGAAATACATTGGAATAACAACAGTAAAACACTCATAACAGCACGAAATATTTATGTACGACTAAACTGGGTTAGTCCAATAATAAGTAAACAATTCCATGTAGGTCATTTTTATGGAACTGATTATCTGGAGTACAAATGATATCACCTATTGACATTAGCTGAATAACTTTCAAAAGTTCAAACTCATAAAAAAGTTATCTGTTTGAAAACTTCTCAAAATTCATATCCCGTAGCCACGTGAATTATCATTGACTGTTTTATTGGCAGTTTCCTTTAATACGGGTGTTCGCGGTAATTCCGAAGTGAATTAAAGTTTCTATTTTTTGGCGTCCCTAACCATACACTAGATTCTTTTAATCTCTACTGCTTTCTGAACCATATACCTTTGTAGTAGACAGACGGAACGCATGAAACTCTTCATTGCTACACAGGCTTTGCATTAAGTTGCGAAAGGATGTAACGATTGCAGTGATACTGCTATTTAGCATAATTTAGACAAAAAGTAGGTGACCAGTGTCACAAATAATCAACTAAATGTGCAGAGGTCTATTTGAACGGAATTTATTTTTTGAGTTTCACACTCGTACATAACTCTGATATTTGAATAGCTAACTGTAGAAGTTAGTAATAACAATACCAGTGAAGACGGTAATAAATTGATTTGTCGAATTGAAGTGATGGTGAAATGCACTCACAACCACATGCACATTGATACAGCGAGCAGTCAGCCACGCCTATTGTATGAGAGCTAATAATACTGCCTGGCTGCCCTTGGCACCTGGAGTGGTGTTCGAACCCGTGATCCACTGAGAGAAAGTCAACTCCCTGAACCAGCTAGTCACAACTCCACAGCGAAATGGTGGCAAGAAGAAGCTTAATTGTATTTTGAATGGATTGGGTGAATGTGTTGACTGTTAAGTGATAGGGATAGCAAACAAGAAAACCCTACTGAACTTAGGTTACATTTTTACTCACACTCATTAGCAAAGCCCGTATGTTAGCTTGTAAGGACTGATATTCATTCATAGAGCCGACTCTGTGCCACTTAGTGATGAGTTTATAGGTCTTACCATTATGCTCTTCAAATCATGGGTAAACTTCTGGTGACAGGAGTGGACAAGAGACTCGACCACCGTTTGGCTATTGATGCGGTGGTCAAAGCAAACGTGTTAAACCGGTTATCAATTTGTGCACCATTAAAAGCAAAAAATATGAGAAAACGAAGACTGATATGAATCCAAAGACAAGTCTCAAAAAACGTATATTTGGTTGAGTAAAGACTAAAGCTAGTACACCTCCTTTTCCATTGTTTCTTTATAACCAAAAATCATACGATTCTGAAAAGTCGAGAAATATTTTCAAGCATTTACAAAATTCAAAATAGCAACAAAATATTCGCTACTCTTATCAATAGAGCTATCAGGTAGGGAAGTATTGGATTTCTAGACAACATCAGCACTGATTTCACTTTTCCTACATTTATGTGAACACATATATAAACCTCTATTTTTATTCCGGAAATGTCTATCATAAGTATTGACGAAGTGGTCGCTGGTACATAATTGATGTTGCAGCCTCGTTTTTAGTTCTCCGGACTGAACGAAGTCTATTATATATATATATATATATATATATATATATATATATTGATGCGTCCTGACATATATGAGTTTATTTTGATGATCGCAGGTTACGATTTCCGAATATTTCGTGATCACAAAGTCCTCTCCTGGCAATTTCTCATAGCTCACCAATGAGTGTTCCTATTACTGCCAAATAAGGTGAATCACTTCGTATTTACGTTTTTACCCATGGTGTACATAAAGCATCATGATGACCTTCACAAAATAATATATGATTTTGAATTTTTTGACCAATATCATGAATATGCAGAACGGTATGTGGCATTACTTGAGAGCTAAGAGAGGTTTCGTAAATGATTAATGTATTAAATTCCTACAACAGCGATCTAATTGACCCACAGATAATCACTGTTCCCACTGCGTGTTGCATTACACAGTGATATAAATACCTCTGAAGAAAACAAGACCTTAGCATGTTTTTTTGAGTTGTCAAAAATGATATGCGGACTGAACCGACGTTCTTGGTGAAACACTATACTGAAGAGTAACTCACCTAAACTAGTGTGATCACACATGTAAATTTTAAGTCTATAAATGGTCTCACTCCCTGTTATTATCTAAGTTGACTGTTTACTTACTTTTCAAATATCTGATTCTTATTTCTGGTATCATTTGAAGGACATGAATGAATCAAGAGTACTAGCAGCTGAAGTTTTCTAAGTCAGTACGAAGTACTTGTCTGGTGAACTCCTTGTTCAAAGTATCTTTCTTAGGTATTATTAGTCCGCAAGTAGAATTATTTTGAGATCCAGCATTTCTTTTCGTAGGATGTTAACAGATAGTTACTATTTAGCTTGTAGATGTTCTTGATGAGCAACTGTGCAACTGTTTTCTGGTAACTGGAAATACTGTATATCAACATTTTTCATTTTCAGTATGAAGTTAGTTCTGATGATGTCGTCTGGAAAGACGATGAAAGCTTCACGACTAAACAACCCAGCTCAGACAACACAATACAACCAAGATTTTTCATTTTTGCTAAATTTTCGGCATCATATAAGGCGTAGTTATGTCTGCCATAAAATGATCACTGTACCTTTTACCTACGCACTCACAGGTCATACATGAAACAACGATACAGGCATTTTCTGAAATTCAAGAGGATTCGGAATTGTGGTCAATCCCAGCCTATAAATATGAATCGCAGGACGCCTGGCCAGATGCAGTCGATGACAATGTGGTTACGATTACATGGAGTTTACCAAAAAATGCACCTTCAGCAACGCAGTCTGTGATTAAGGATGTTTTCAGAGCATTGAGTAAGTTTCGAAGAAAATTCAGTTTCGTTTTACATGCTAAATAAAATCTCAAGTCCATTGGCTTAGGCACACCACTTTCAAGCAGTAGGAAATGAGTCTAAAATCTGTTTCATCTACTTTGCGTACACATATGGATCATTGACTAGTGCACTAGCCTCTGCATTGTCATTGATTTGCACCTCACATGAACGATAACTCATACTGAAAGAAGGAATGAATATCATATATATCATATATCTATCTGCCTGCTAAATGTGATACGATGCAACCTTGTCAATAACTAGATTTCATCTTCGTACCAGTTGTGGTATTTAGTGCTTGGCAATCGTCAGGATGAAAAACGTGCCAAAATCTACCAATTAATCTTGGGTGATACGAAGTCAACTTTCACTAGGTGCGATGAATTCATGATTTAAAACTGCAGGATATGTATAAGCTGCCGTCTCTAAATCCAGTAGGGATTCTTAAGTTTTGCACACAAAGTACAGTAATAACTATTTAGTCAATTGAATACTTTCAATCCTACTGTTTTTGTAAAAGTCCCTTTTTTATATCCTATAAAGTTTTGATTTCACCAAAATCATTTCACTTTACTCTTATAAGCATGACTAGCGGGAAAAACAGAAGGTAAAAGGCCTTGAATTATTCAGTTGGTTTAACCTGTAGCCACTATGTCAAATATCTTTATTCTTCCATGAGGAATATAACATTCCCTTCACTTATCTAATCACATCCGTCTTATTGCGAAGAATGAGCTTATAACCATGATTTACCATAGAATGAGTTCTAATACGTAAGTTAAATTGAAGTGTGTGACCATGGTAACTGTCTACGACTATCGTATATAGGCTGTCTGTCACTTTTCTGCATAGTAGTTTCATTTTATTTATTTTCAACAGTAGCTAGAACAACCTGAAACTTACATTTCGATAAATTTTCTTTAAACAGTGGGATAACGAAAAGTTAACTATCGTGTGCCATCTGTTAATGTGTATATGGTCAAAAATGAATCAGGTGTTGTGGAATAAATACAATTTATGACACTTTATTCTGTTAACTCGTCAACTAAAGTTAAATGACATTTCACACAACAAGTGCATGGATTTTATTCGGCCTTTCGACCTAAATTTAAAACGTGATATAAAATGAAACTAATTATCGTTACATAGGGTAACATGAGGAATAATTAAGTAAAACCATGCAGTGTTCGAGGGAAATTGTGTCTTATTTTAGGATTTGAGCAATGAACATCTCTTTCTTCTTTTCGAAGTCAAGCTATTACCAGCAAACTCCAACGTCACTGAAACAAAAGTCTCGGATTTAATTTGAATCTGAAACATTTCTCGAAATAAATTCACTACATATTTCCAAGGTTCATTGGCTTTTGGCTAGTGTGGTTTGCGAAATCAGCGTTACAGTTGAAAATGGTAGTAAAAGAGAAAGCTAAACTAAATAAATAAGTCATCTCCACTGATTGGCCACTGGAGAGCAATGAATTTCTTTTTGTTTATTCCTTAGTGTGGACCGAATTCTATCGATCGTCTTGCAACCTGGTCACCAAGCTATGAGGCTCACCTTTCCGGTGCACTTTGATGGAATTAAGTTGGCTGAAGGCTGTCCGCAGGAAGTCCTAGAATTAGAATTCTTGCTGGTTGGCTGGTACTCTTCAGTAAGGTGTATCTGCAATGGAACTGATGCCCCCTCTGAGATTTGAACCTGTATCCCTAAGTGCTTTTTAGTCAGTGGAGTTACCACCGAGGCATTCGGGCCTCCATTGGCCAGTGTAATTGTTTGATACATCTCTTCGATATCCAAACGAGGTGGGAATTGATGACTTGAAAAAGTTTCGGTATTGGGTAAATGATATTCATTATTCTGGTATTTAAGAGTTTCAAAAGTTCCCATATGTCTTGTTCCAATTTTGGCATTTGTATTTCCCAGTGAATGTAAAACAAAACAAAGTAACATTCATTGGATAGTGCAAATGAAAAAAATAATGTTTAATGTATCCAAAGTTCATCTGTCTCCGAAGAATTTACTTTTCCTTGTAAACAATAAGTGAAGTCCTGAGTGAAACATTACATTTGATCGAATATTTCCTTTCTGTTTTCTGATTAATAGTAATCTATTTCGGAATATTTCTCAGTGGTTCAATTCTATTGTTTCCTCTTAGTCATCTTTTGATACAGTAGGTTTATCGGTGTAGCAAGCTAAGTCTCCGTAAATTTGTGCTGGAATTTCCGTCATGATATGGAACGTCCGTATTCAGCTAATCTACTTTACTTCTCTTTCAGTTATTTCGCCCAGTGCAGTAAACACAATTCGTGCTTGGGTTTGGCAAAGAGATTCTCATTTGCTAGATATCAGAGCTTATCATCAGGTAGATGAAGGTGCTGAAGGCAGTCATCCCAAGACGTTAACCCTACAACGTACTGGTTGTTCTAGTGAAGATGAAGGTTCCACTGTGGCATCAGTACGGCTTGAAGGTTAGTAGTTGCATATTATATGCCTTCAATTCAATAGTTTCATGTTTATTAATTCTGTTTGGGTGATTTATTATGAATGTTAATAACTAACCATACATAATAACACTGCTAACAACAGATGTATGTCTACGTATAAACAAAATCGTATTCTATGCTTAGAATACAAGAAGTAGCTCTGTTCTACAAAAATGGATATAGGGAAACGTATTGTGATGTCGCTTCGTATTAGAGGACTGAACGGACCAGGTCCTGTTGATAGATATGTAGGTTCATTTGCTGATTACATTGATATTCCATCTAACTTAATTATTGTCAGTCAAGAGTTGTTACCATCCTATATGTTTGACTCAGTTTATTGTGCAGCTGATTAACTTGATTAAAGAAAATCTCTTATCTACAAAGTTATCAGTATTAGGGTGTGGCTGTGCTGCAAACGTGAATTCAAACTATAACTCAAACAAACGAAGCTAATTGGTTTTGCTTACAGCAACAAGTGCATATTAGCTAAAGGACATCATTACATCCCAATAGAATGATGTATTCATTTCAGTCTGTATCGATTCTGAGATTATATTGAAAAAAGAGTGCACAGTTGCACATAAAAGTCAAAGAGGTTCAATTTTTCCACACCACAATGGTCTAATAAACTTGAATTTAACTAACTGCAGTTGCTTTTTCCTTAGCATTTGTGACAGAAGTCGATTTAACAGATGAGTTAGCTTAGAAACAGATATGCATGTGGTGCATTATTTGGTTCAAGTGAATTTTAAACATAGTTGAAATAAAGTGTGTCGTCACTTCCATTCCAGGTATATACGAATGATATGAATATATAGGCATGCAACAATAACTGCTTCAGGCTTTGTCTGCAGGATTGAAACGTTTCCTCGTTTCAAAAACTTGTACAATATGCTGAGTAGTCTTTTAGGCAAAAGTAAAACTGGTTAGGCTTAAACGCTAGACCTAATTAGTTTAAAAAAGTGCTACTAACGAACTGTTTTAAAAATGTGATAGTCACAATAAGAAGCGAATGATATAGTGTATGAGGTGGAAGCAAATAATATGTTAGGAACAGCCATTGATATATCAATATACCTTTATATATCCAAATGCTTTAGTTCGCTGTATCGGAATATTTCAAAAAAAGAAACGCTCATAAACCTTCTGATTGGTTTTTGTCTCATCACATGTGAAATCTGCAAATTCCATTATTAAAGGGATTATAAACAAACAATAAATTGCGTGCTTCTCATATTTAACTTTATGCTTTCCTGAAAATAATATAATCAATAGCTTAGTTGGAAGAAATGTAAGCTATTTGTTACTGACTGACCAGAGCAGTTAGAAACTATTTCGACTAATCATTAAATCTTACTAGCCAGACCCAAGTGACCTGGACATCGATCAACCAACCCACTTAGAGAACATCACCAATGCTGACTTCTCCAAACGACAGGAAAGATCATTCGGTATTTAGATTACTTCATCCTAATTGCTCAGGATTGTATTTTGGTCATACCAGCCTCAAATTGATATACACCCTAGAAGTATAGATCATGCAGTTCGGTTTGCTCTTTCATTTCTCTTCATGATTTGGTACTGACCAAAACTTATGTAATGAACATTTCCTCAGCCAAAAAGAACTTTGATGGGGTGTCCCGACTGAGTTTCATCTTACTGTGTTATGCTCATCATGGACTGAAATTCTTACAAAGGTGTGTAATGGTGTCACAGTTTTGCGTACTCCAAGTTGGTGAGTTCAGATTATACACTAGAAATGAATACGATCATGTTATCTGTCCATATCCGTTAAACAAGTGCCCACAACCAAAATGCACTGGATTAGTATTCTGAACTGAGATAATAAAGTATTCATACTTTTGTGAAAGATAAATTTCCCATAAGTGACCTTCTATATGCCAGACAAGGTATCTTCCTACCTATTTCATACCAGAAACGATTAATCTTTTCGAATACTGTCATGCTTTTATGAGTTTATCGAATCTTCCTCCAAACTTATGTTCTACATCCACCGTATATAAGAATAATCAGTATCTCGATGTATTTAGCTATCTTATGTTCATGTAGGCTGATAACATCAAAAACGGCTTGCTATTCTTGTCCAAAACTTCAGAGTTGTTCATATGATGACTTTACTACATTCAGGATATTACTGTTGAAATACTTTCAGGAAAGTCTTCATCTACGCGTTGATTTTATCCTCATCTCAAAATGTGTAGTATAACAGATGTTACAGTATGAGTGAAGAAAGAAATAAAAATGCCACCCTTTTTTAGATTCATTAGCGGATTATTAGCAGGTCATGTTTATAAATCTATACTAAAGAGATTAACAACAAAACTGAAGGTCGATTTCAGCCTACTTGAAATGAAATCTGTCTACATACAAATCTGTCAGTGAATGCTAGGTACTAAATTGATCAGCACTAACTCCTACTATTCTTTGAGAACGTAGAAAGTAGTACTTACAGTCTAATATAACTTATCAGTTGTACTGCTTTTAATAAATTTACTGAAGTCAACAAACAATATTTTAGAAAGAAAGTGTTTGCAGTTGCAATTTGTACAAGTTGTAGAATCTATTCACTAAAGATGTACTCTGTGGATTTCAAACTTTCTTCAGTCATCGCTTTTTTTTTGTTAAAACCTATCTATTTTTTATTTCACTATTACTGACACTTTTTTAACTGCATCTTTAACAATATTTATTGAAATACATTCATTTCTACTCTTCTTACGGACTTTATTAGACTACTAAAAACAGGTGGTCTTCTTTCTATAACTAATCAACGCATAGACAGTTAAGTAAGGATCCGTTTCAGCTTGACTACCCTAGCATTTGATGTAATATTCCTTGAGTTTCACTTTTTAAACTATCTTTTCAAGTCTGAGCTGACTCATAAGTAACGAGTGAAATTCAAGTGTGCTACGGTGTAACACAAAATATCGGATTGCAACACTCCAACTAAGTGGCAGTATTTTCAGCAAAATATTATTGCTGTTTATAGTTTAAGTATGTACGAGAATCTAATTAATCGAGAGATTGTCTAAGTACTTATTTGCAAACATGTAGTATTCTGCAAGTAATGCCATTCGAAGTGTTCTGAAGTAGTGATAATTTAGAGACAAATGAAACTGAGTGAACGTTTTCTGTACAAGGTTGGTGTTTACAGAGTATAAAAGTAGTTTCCAGTATGTTGACACGAATGAAAAGTTATGACAGGATATTTGGTTCGACTGAATACCTGAGAAGTAACACGTTACTGTGTCCTAAAACGCCACAGTAAGTTAGACCTCTTGATAGAAGGAGCATCACACTACCAATTGTTGTAAACATTCCTAGCTGATGAACTCTGACTAATGATAAACTCCATTGACATACCGAATACAAAATCATTCAACTGACTTGAATTTTCAACTTGTGAAAAGTTGTTGACTTCCTTTCTGTTGTACGTTACCAGTTCAGTCTGTCGCCAAGCATTTATTCAGTTTTAGAAGAGAATTGACAGCTTTTTTTACAGGTAGTCAGTTATTAGCGAATGGAGTTAATTTTCAGCTTGAAACTAGAAATCAATAACTGCAAGTGATCATTGTTTACAAATATAAACTTCCAACGTTATTCATTCCTTGAGAATATCATTGTCGTCATATTCAACAATCTAAAAACTAAAGTGTAGACAGTTGATAAATACCTAAGACTGATTTGATGAACCCGGCGTCAGACATGATACATCTTTCGACTGACACAGAGTACTTTAAAGTACCTTAGATTGAAAGAAGATCAAAGATGGTCAGATGCGCTACCAATCCATGAAGTCGTTGTCTGTTGTTCCGCGTCCCCCATGAATGTGCAAGCTTTCTAGTGGAGGATTGAAAGAACACAAGTCGATGGCTCTTGGTCGACCTCATTCAGCCAGAGGCTTTCATATCTTATCCTCATTCAAATTTTATCATGATTCAACAGTATCACCTCTCTTTTTATTTATCTCAGCGTTTTACTACTGTTAAAATGATCTTCCGTACTTCTTTGTCTTTTTTCTTGTTGACCACAATAGCGATGTTTTGTTGCGATGTACTTTCGACCTTAACGCAGAGATCCAAGTGTAGTTCCTTTGTTGTTTACATCAATTTATCTGAACCGATTCTGTTCGTTGATCGTCATCTCCTGTAATTTTGCTCATTTGCAAATTGTATTGATAAAATGTTACTTTTCGTAGGTGGATGGATATCTAGCGAGTCAAATGTTCAATCATTACTTAAGTGGTGTTATCAACTCGGGTGGTAGCCATCGTTCATAGTAGGCCTCAGTCCTTCATGACGTTTATTCGGAAATTAAGTAGTGTCCTTTCAGACTTCACTTTTTTGAGATATTTTCAAGTATCAATCGATCGGCTTAGTTTGTTTTTATCATTATTGTTATTGCCTTGTTGTTCAAGCTCTTTTTTCAATCCAACAACGAGTCAATTTATATAATGTCCAATTTACGAAATTGATTTTTTCTTCGTTCCTGTCTATTCATTACTTTTTCGTCCAGAATTTTGGATATTCATATTAAGTCAGATATACAAATCCCTTTTCCTTCCCTTCATGATTCGTTTTTCCCTTTGTGGGCGTGTCTAAAGTAATACTAATTCCTTTGTGAACACATCTAATGCTCAGACTGCGCTGTTAAGAAAATTCAATGGTTGTTGTCACGTGTCAGTTTGCGCTTCTACTATCATCTCTAATTTTGTTGAGTAAGTATTCATTAGGATATCACACACACTTTAAAATCAATCACTATCCAATACACCTTAAAAATGAATAACAATCCAGTTCTTCTTGGTAACTTGTTTTGAGATGAACTTCCTAAAGTTCTAATGAGGAACCTTGACCTAGAAGGTCGAAAATGTCCAGTGTGATGACAAGTACTCTTGATGGCATTGTATGATGCTCACGCTGTATCATTAACTGAAATACGTGGGAGTGTTGGGTTTTCAATGAGTGCCTAAATGGTAACATGTTCACCGAAACAGCAATCCGTCCTGCGCTTGATCTCTCACGGAACTGTGAGTACATACACTTAAAGTGTCCGAAACGAGAACCAAAAGCATCTGTTCAGAGCTCTAAGGCTTTTAATGGCTTCCTAGTTTCTTATGGGTAAAGAAGTCATTTTATTAAGCAGCTTAATCACACGTGTGTTGCTAACAGTAGACTATTTTGTCTTCCATAACAAATGGACCCTAAGGTAGATTGGATGCAATAAATTGAAAACTAACCAACTTTTATATCACTTCCCTACAAGGATCAGCTTAGTTATCGATGGATAAACTTGAACTCAGGTTTTCCCACACTCATCACATGGCAGTGGATTAGTTAGCTCGGGGTTATTAGCTCATAACTATTAAAATACAGAGGTCAAAGAGATACACCTTAAAAGACTAAACTTACTAGCTTGTTCTTCAGAAAGTCTGAAAAAGCTACTAACAATCTTCTTCCTAGAGCTTTAAATATCTTCACCTACTCCCAAACCCCACTTCACGCGAATTAATTTTCTTGGTGTATACTGTAGCTCTATCTCCCATCCTTAACATATGTTTCCAGAAAGAAATTCCTATGAGTATTGTTTACAGCGATAACAGTAGTGTTCCCATCTGAGTAGCTAGAACTGAATGTTACTAATTAAGATAGTGTGCCTTTTCAAGGTGTGGATATTCTTATGTGGTAAACATTGTTCCAGATATGATTATTACGAATAAAAATCAAGCTACTAGACTGCTTAGAAAGGCCAGCTGATGTTTTCATAAAAATTCCGTTGTAAACGAGCATCCATAATGAGGTATCTAGGTAAGATGAGGAGAGAATTATTAAGGCTGAACATGATCTGAGTAGCATAAGTAATTCAAATGAATTCGAATTACAGTGTGTATGTTTCTATCAGCAACTTCAAGTAGTGAATTCCAACAGCCCAAGAAACATCTATTCCTGCACCAGCCTCTCTCAAAGTAGTCTTGAGATGATCGATGTTCTCCTTCTTAGCATAAAAGAGGTTTAGAAGCTGAATAACGTTTCACTTAGTTACGCAATATACAAATATAGGGTTTGTCACCTAAGTCCCAATTTGGAAAACTAATCAGTACTTATTCTATTACTATTCTATTACTATACTTACGGACTAAGCATTTAATGCGGGACTATTTTCCACTCTGAGATTACAAGCTACCCTAAAGTCAATAAGTTCATAAAGACACTCAATTGAATATGTAGTCCGCTCATAAGTCGAATAAGCATTGTAATAGAGTTAAAGTCTCATCAACAGTAATATCTTCAAAGTCGTCATTTTAAAAGTTCTCAGGTTGCTGTTTCGGATGCTCTCGCCTCATGTTTCACCTCAGTTTCAGCTAGTATTATCCGAGTAAACATTTTTGGGAATTCATGTTTCGTCTCCACAACACACTGGATACCGAATGTTCGGTCAAAAGACACATGACTTCCTTCGTACAAAATTGCAGTCATGGGAATCAATAAGTGGAAGACGGACCAATGTATATCTAAGAAATCAGTTCAAACTCTCTGTCTATCCTACAACTAGCTCAAATTTAGACATCATACATCATGACACATTATAACACATAATTGTCGCCCAACTTTTTACTGGTTTTTGGTCTTTACCTTTTTAGTAACTTCCAATTTTATTTCTCGTATTACTGCAGTTTTATTACTGAAGATAAATTTCCAGTAGCATCACCGTTTGTAGTGTCTCATCATAACAAGACGCAAGTGATTTCAAAAATTAATCCAGCAGTTATTGAAATAGCCAATTTAAATAGTTTCGTTGAGTCAAAATGGAACAAAGACTTCAGTAAACTGTACAGTTGCACTAAAATATAGTTACTGTGCATAGAAATGTCAATATTTATTCATCAATAACTGCTAATAGTTTGTCACCCGTAAAATAATATATATTCAGGGCAATTACATAAGAAGTGTAACAGCGTTTAACAGCATAAATGTGAGTTATAATCAAGGGTGAAAGGATCGGTAACAAAGGAAGTAGACAGTTACCAGTGCTGATGGGAACGAGAGACTGAGTTAAGAATAAACCGCTTACGTAGTAATGACATGAAAACTAGAGGGGTTAGTTAAGGTTAAGAATTGAAAAGTTCAAAGATTAAGTAGTGAATGGAGACAAAGACTATCAAAGTTCCTTATAGATACATGATTCCTGTTTCAATTTTTGTGTTGCCGGACCCTTAGCAATGTAAAGCAAACACTTCTCACTCTTCTGAAGATTACATTATAGTTGGTAGATTACTGCAAACGAATCTTCTGTTCACTGTAGACTAAATTTTGTTATATGGATCTGTTGGTTTATCCGGCTTGATCTTCACTGAACCATACTGCTGGATGTTGGCATCGATGTTGAACAATCTTCCCCTTCCCATACCTTATGTACCTAGCTTCATATGAGCAGGTAAACTGATATATCCACATTGAAGTGGCTAGTAGTGGCTGTTTATCCTTCACAGATGTGTTCGTCACTGAGGAGTTAGAGTAGGTGATTTGCATAATGGCTACATAGAATATTCTTTTGACAGTCTTCATTAGTCAGAGTTTTAGTATCTCATCTGTTGAATCCAAATTGAATCACAGGTTCAAAGTTAGCATCTTCTTCTCCACATTGACAGAAGACTGACGCATAAGATTTCAACACACATTTTTATCTATGAATTTCTTTGAGTATGTATTCAGATGAACATCGACTGTGAAGTTGAATTTCGTCGTGAGTACAAATCCTCCAGATTCTAGAGAAGAGTGAATGGAATAAACTTCTTTTTCCTCTGATGGAAACCCAGCTGTTAAGGTTTGTCCATTCAAAGTAGGTCGTATATTTAAAAAGCATTAGCCGAAACGTTTGCTATTTTTATCTGGAAAGACGTGCAAACAAGCTAACTTATCCCAAACCAGGATGAAACGGTTTTCCAATGATCTCAGAATTCTACGTGCTATCCAGGTGATATCAGTTCGCGATGCAAACTACGTTTGAACTGACCGATCTTCATCAACCACCCCATGACATTCGTAAACGTTTTGGTCATTGAAATAAACAGTCGTAACATTTATATGGGGTTCCCGGTTGAAGAAATTTTAGCAGGGACAAGAAAAGGGCTCGTTGAAAGTCTGCACATAGCAGTAGTGAGATATGAAAGGACCTACTAATAGCTAGCTGCTTTGCACAGTACTTCGTTCTTTTTCAACTAAATACACGCGGAACACACCCAGTGAAGTTCACAGATGTGTTGGTTACACGTAATAAATAATATATTTTCATGTAAACTACTTACCGTATGGATATTACCGATACTGGCGTCGAGTTCTGAATGAAAGAAAAGCGCCAGATCATCGGGTTGTTGACTTGTATTGACCCAAGGACTGGAATTTGCATCATACATGCTTCAGTTACTGCATACTACAACGCATTATGGCTACGTTAACAGTAGCTGTAATATTGTCAAACCAAGGCTACACCAACATTCCTTGAAGTCCCCAACTGTTTGTTTGTGAAAATGTAAATTTTTCGTAGTTTTGTTGTAAGAAACGACAAGACTCAGACGCAGGACAGAATGTTCATTATAGTATTTTGTGCAATAGTGATGAAATATTGTACAATTTCATCAAAATAGTCATTTGCATTATCTGTTCGATTTCCTCTTCTGCTTCTATATCGACTTGCCCTTAATAAGCTCAGATTGTTTCTTGTGTTTCTCTGGGCAGAATATTTACCGATCGCTGATGATTGCCTATGATTTCTGCGGACCTCTCAATATATACTACTCATATCCGTTCTTATCAGTAGCACTCACTATATTATTACTATAAGTTGGCTAAAATTAATCTCTTTTACAGAGGTTGTAAGTATCTTTTCTCTTTCTTTCTATAACTATAGGTGGACAGTGTGTCACAGAAAATGAAGATATCGTTAAATGTACACGTACAACTCACGGTCAAGTAATCCAATTCACATTAAAAGATCCAACTACATCAGATGAATATAAATTACATATGAAAAGTGGAAGTGATGAGTCAAGTATAGATTTGGTTACTTCTAGTGCACTAAGTGAAGCAGTTAAGGAAGATATAAAAGGTAAGTATTTCACGGGTTTTGAACGAGTATTAACTAAAAAGGTAATTTGTACTACTTTTCGACTGAAGATATTATACACTGTCTGCAGTATCTATGACTAGATTCTATCAGGTTCATAAATATAGCATAAGGAACAAAAGAATGTTTTGTTTGCTACGTTTTATTCATTTGTAAATCACTGACCTTTGGGTAGTTACTTCAGTTCGAGGGCGTAGATGTTAACTATTCGACCTGATCTTTTTGCCCTTGATTACTTAGCTCTCCCATGGAGTCGAATAATTGTATCTGACTGATCTCATTGTATACATGCTAGACACATCTTCATAAATCGATATTTTGGCACTAACTTTAAGTTGATTTTGTTCAATACTATTTTTAGATAGCTGCTATAGGATATAGAGTATCTATATCGCACTACAGTAGCTCTGTGAATTTTACTTGAAGCGATGGACTTCAGGCTAAAGCAACATGAGTAAAACTATAATTAACAAAGATACTGCAAATGATACTGAATGTCTTGCTAACATGCATTAAATAATTATCAGGATATCAGTCTACCTGCTTAATCACCATGAATTTTTTTTGAAATAATATTTACTCTTTAGCTACCAATTTCAAAATATTCGAAACTTCAAAGTCCAACCTAGCAACTTTTGAAATAACCGGTTAGATTTCTTTATTATGTCTAGTATAATAGTTTTTTTCGCAAGATAATGAAAGAGAGAGACAGTGTGAATTCTAAACCTTGGTAAAGAGTTGATTTATGGTAATTCGGCAAGTTGGTTTGTCTTTCTTTTTTCGTCTATATTATTATTTCGACGCTTACAAGCCTTGTTCATCTTCAAAATTATGTTAGAAATATATCTTATCAAGATGTGTGAGTTCATAATCTACTTTCCATGTCCAACATATCACCAGTTACACTTTAAAACATTTGATGTACGTTTGAATAGCTTATTACTGTTATATGTATCCATTTTTAAGGACATATTTGTTTCAGTAGAGTGACACAGCGAATTAAAAATGAATATCAGCTTGATTTGTACATAACTGAACAAGTAAATATGTACGTTCAGTGAACTGCATATTAACGTCACACATTTTTATCCTTGAAGCAGAACGGTTCAGATATTCTATACCTATTAAATGTAACGTGTTCTCAGCTTCACTAATCTGTTTGTTGTGATTCTTTGGGTGACTGATAATTGCTAACACATTATTTGGGCAGCGACAAAGATTAATTTTACCACGTAAGCTGCATTTTTCAAGTGAACCTTGAATATCTGTTTCAACGAATTGATTTAGGAGCCTTACAAATCACTCACAATTTTTCAAAACCTTTGTAACTGTGTAAAGGCAAATAATTTTAGCGCTTGCTGTAAGTCAGCTAGACGACACCACAAATCCGATTTGCATGACAGTTAGAGGCAAAATATAAAAGCATGTATCAGTTAACCATTAATCGTATGGATAAATAATCTAGCGTCTATTATCTGGATCTTGACTTGTTATCTCACCAGTTTGCGATCTGAGCTTCTCAGTTCCTGAACCAATTTCACCTGGTGGTCGGGAGTACAACTCACTAAGGCTTCACAAAGAGTCTCTTCGCTTACGCAGTTCATTCGCCTTTCTGATGAAAACCAATTGGACATTAGTCAGATCTCTGAAATCGCCAAACTCATTGGTGTTTTGAAGTACTTGTGAAAAGCTGTTAACTACAAGTGGCGATCAACAGTCTTTAGAGTCATTAGAAGATAGGCTAAATCTTGAAACATCTAAGTCTTATTAAGGGTAAGGGTATAAGTAGTTAGGCCGAAAAATTGCGTTTGTTCATCCTGCTTGCTAATGCCACCAAGAGTACAAATATTTTAGAAATTGAAAACTACATAATTCAATAGTTGCTGGACCTAATTTTTTCTATTTGATAATTAACACACTAACGTGCACAAACACTGATATACAGGCTGTTTACAGCAACGATACTTTGCGTAGAAGTTTCTGCATAAGCCTCTACAACCTCGTAAAGCTAATGAACATCTCTAAAGGAATACACCAACAAGTTTGTCGGAATATCAGTGATTTGTGACTCAAATTGAAATTGGAAAATCCTACTTCTTTGAAGTAAGATAGGGATATTCCATGGAGGGTAGAGGTTCAGCTGAATTACTTCAAATGCTCTCATCCGATGCTCTCTTCATTTTTGCTGTATTTCGCTGTCTGCAATAATTTGGTTGGTAATTCTAATTAGTTCCAGGGGTTTCTCGAATTGAAACATTCACTGCAAAGAATGAAAGTTCTAGATATTTTGTCCATAGGACCAAGGTGGATACTAGTGAGAATTACTGATGGAATGGATTGACCATATACACACCGAGCAAATTACAAAACAAGAGTAAGTTGTCAACAAGTTAATCAAAGATATCAAGAAATTTAGTCGAACTTAGAAGGACACCAAAAGTGTTGAGAAACGTTTCATGAAAAATGGATTACGTTGCCTTTTTTTTCTAAACAGACAGAAGGACAAATCCAAATAGAAAATCTTGATTTTCGGTGTTTGATGAAATCCGTAAAAGTGATGTAATTCGTGGAAATTATTAAAAGTGGTGTAAATTCAAGTAGCACATGATTCTAAGAATGCTTTGATGTGTCACATTTTCTTCAAAAAACTTCCATTGATAGTAAAATGTTTCATGTTAAAATTAAACTGGAAGGTGTTTTTTCCCTAAGACAGTATTGAGATGACAGTAAGGGAAAACTGGAAGGTATTAAATTTTCATCATTGTGAAAATCCATCTGACAATCAAATTTATGTCCATTACCAAGGTAACACTACCGTAAGGCATTGTTGAACAAGATCTCAGTGACGATTTATAATTCCTTCGGCCTTTCAAGCTTCGTATAAGCATACTAACAGGCCAAAATTCGAAATGTTGCTTCATACGGTAAGTTTTTTCCAGCCTAAAACGCTAGATGCAAGGGGTTAACTGAGCAGCCAGCATGCCTTTCTTGGATGATAATAATAATAACTGTGATGGATATCCTCTGCATTGATAAAGTTGAAATGCAATAAAACTTGAGTTGGTATTCAACACGGACTGACATCAGTTGGAGAACCACTGAAAACCTGGGAGCACTGGACAGCTGTTTCAACTTAGTGTGGGACGCCTCAGTAGTACGCATCTACACCCCGGATAGTGATCGAACTCAAGAACTTCAAATTTCACAGCGAACACTTTAACCATTCAGCCACTGAACCGGAGTTCAATGGTTCGCACTTTCCGATTTATATCATTTGGCCATATGAATGGTAAACGCGTTCAACATGAAACCTGAGAGTTCTTAGTTCAGTCCCTTGCTGGGTTGTGGGTGCGTGCTGCTGTGGAATCCTACACTAGGACGAAACAGCTGTCCAGTGCTCCCAGGTTTTCAATGATTCTCTAACCGATTTCAGTCCGTGATGAATACCAGCTCAAAAATAAAATTTGTCGTTTTTTTAATTTTTGATCGATTTTTCACTGGTATCGTCTTGTGTTAATTAACCTTTAAATACCTCACCACAGAAATATTTAGTCTGTACTTTACAACCGCATATTTACATAGCTATTTCTCAGTGATTTTCTACAAGAAAGAAAAAGGAGAATCAACATGAAATTTCAGTTGATGCAACCTCCTAGCTAATAAAACCCTAGTGTACCTGCGATTTCATAGTTTAGAGAATCGTTAATTAGCTTAAGAGTCACCGATTCAAATTCCATTTCCATCTACTAAGATGTGAACAGACAGTTAATTCCGCTGTCTAAACATTGTAGGTTTGCTTTGTAACTTAGTAGACAAATCTCTGTGTTACTGCACAATTGGAGATTATTACTTCTTCGATAATTCTTCTCGACTTTTTTGTCCAACATGTTAAGCTTCTTTTAGTTATTCTATTTTAATCATTTAACATCCTGATATACACTGGAAAACAGATACACCTAGTCAATCAATATACCAGCTTGAAATTCAATATCACCAGAAAAGTATACAGATTCAGAAAGCAATTTTCATAAGTAAAAGAATGTAGAACATGTCTACCCGGAAAGAATAACATCCCTTGTTTGTCTGTCTGTTGATCTATCGTTCAGTATAACAGGATAGAATGGCCAACGGAAACCAGAAGAAATTTGTGTGATTATGGAATAAAATAATTAAATTTTCAGCAAGAGAATAAATTGACGAGCAACAAAATGTCATGCATGTACTGATAAACTTGTTACCTGTAAAACCGTTATACAATGTTATCATATAGTAGAATTCTACGATCAGTCTTTAACTATGTTTTCACTTTTAGGCCTTGCTTTTTAATTGGTCAGTTTATAAATGGTTAAAAATGACGAGGATCGGGTATAGGTGACTGTTTTCCTATTAAATCCTTTCCCCTGTAAATTGACAATATTAATATAAGTTATTTACAAGAATGGACAATATTTTGCTCAGGATTTAGACAGCAATAAGATACAAGTGCATCAACAGTTGCCAATATATTGCACCTTGTAACGGAATTTAGTCACGCAGTCATTGTGAAACTAATAAAAATATCTACCAGATAATTGTCTAGGTAGTAAATGAGGTTTGACCTAGTTAATTTGGGGACTTACACATTTTAACTAATCCAGTTGTCGTGATCACACTAAACTGCTGCATTGAAAATATTTGATGTTCGATTCGCCCAAACGAGTTAGTAACTAAATTTCAAACCTCTCTAAATGTGAAAATTACTTTCCTGATGGAAATTTCATTGTAATTAATTCTAACGGCTTCATTTTTATAGATGTCTTTATTTACATTGAATGGCAATGTGCTAAAAAAATATTTTGATGTCATTTCATAAAGTTCGCCGTCTTTAGCTGAATGAAAATTAAAACTATATATTTTTCAACTGACACAGTCTCATTTACCCTGCTAGTAGATGACACTAAGTATCCCCATATGAAAATTAGGCTTACTTATAATATTTTCGGATGTCTAATTAATTGCACTAAAATTTTCTCGAAATTACTCTTATTTAGTTTTTGACACATTACATATCATCTGCCAGTGTTATTCTTAGCTACAGGTAACTTGGCTATCTGGGCGATGTTCTTCTTTTTGAGTAGAACTTTCTTGAAACTGCGGTCATCAATGTCAGTTGAACGTCATTCAACGATCTGCTCCCAAGCAAGGTCACCTGGAAATGGTCTCCCACTTTATCATGCTCAGTCTTAGTTATAGATATTCTCAAACGTTTGCAGACATTATCAATATCGACCTGCTGACTTTGTTTATTTATTTCTATGAGGATCGTCTATCAAACCATGAAGTGTCCATGATTTGATAGTTTTTCTGAATAGACATTATCATGTGCCTCATTTCATTAGGAAAAATTGCTATGACAACTATAATTTAAAACGTTGCCTCACTAGCATCTTACTTTCAATAAAAGCTTAATTTATTTTCTTGGCTAGAATAAGCTATAATAATGGATAGGTTCTTTTAGAATCGTCTGAATTTTTTCACATATTTTCGTCTCTTTTTTAAGCAAGTGCTCACATTTCAGACTTTTTTAATGCAAATTTATTTTTTTAATCCAGATGCTGATTTAAGTTTGACTGTTGAAGGTATTCAACATGATCAGGCAACGCAAGAAACTGAAATGGATGTGGCTGTTCATATCGGTTCCAAAGTGAGTCATATATATATATATATATATATATATATATATATAAACCGCCGAATGACGGGCAGAGCAAGGATCAGTTACAAACTGCTACTGGACACCAACCAATGAACGCAGTATCTTTACTTGGCTAAGTTACATGAACTTATGATGTAAATCACCGTAATGCGGTTATCATTTAAAAAACAATCGATTTGCGATCCGCAGTCAAAAGGATAATCACGACCTAATTAGCTTGTCTTCGATATCTCTCATCATTACATTGGGTCATGCAGGTTTAAATTACTTAGACACATTCGAATGTTGCCAGTTTGTGCATACTCGCTGCTGCGAAGTACTAAAACGTGTAAAATCTTATTTCAACAGTTGCTCCGAACTGAGTCAGAACATCTGATAATGGTCTGCTAGATATTATAAAGTTTTTATATGCACCCATCAACAATAATCAGATAAAATATTGAGGAGAGGTTTTGTCACCACTAGTTAAAGCACAATTATTGAGTACAGTTCATTCCTTCTTTGGTTGTAAGAAGTTCCATACGCCACTCTTACACAACAAACATGTTACAAAGTAGGCTAATTCTGATCTTACAGAATCATGTCACTTATAACAAGATAGAAGAAAGTAGCATGGAGAGGAAACTTGAACCAATGGATTACTTCTAAACTGCAGCCCACATACTTATCAAATCTGGTAGTTTAGCCGATAACACGCACGGTAGATAGTCTACCGATCTAGCTATGAAACAGGTTTACGTCTGAATTTGACTTTTTTTATGCCAAAGCTTGTTGAAATTCCCTGCAAATGGTTTAGACTCAAAATTTCCGGTTTGATAAGCCACAAGGTCTAAATACTACTGAAATTTTAATTTCGAATCACCGTAATGAATGATAATAACTTAACTGCTAAGTCTGGTTTCAAAACTAGCTGTCATCTCAAATAAGTGTTCCTGATAAGTACTGATTTACAGACACGCTGAGTAAAGTATCAGAATTCGTTCTCAAACACCAGTTAAAACCTCATTATTTTGCGTAGATGGGAGGATGTGAGATAGCCAGTAATATATTCTCCCATGTAAAATTGAATTATTTTGACTTATTTCTGCCTAATTTTTGCACACTATCTTGAGAATTTCATCTCATCTTTAAACTGTGTTGTTTTCTTTCATCTCATCTTTTAATTGTCAGGTAATCGCAGATAATGCTGCTTGTAGACCAACTTATGTAATGTTAGAGTTTAGTGAACCTAAAATTGAAATGTTGAAATCCAAGGTCTCCGGCGAACAGACGACGTTTCGAGTAAAACTTCCTGCAAATCAAAAAGACATCAACTTGGAGGTACATCTGCTAGTTGGTTCAGTAGATCCTTCGCTTGCTGAAGCCAGTTTAAAACAATCTGTTACCTTAAGAATCCATGTAAGTTTACTGCGAATTTTCAGATGCCTCCATTTTTGTTAGGGACACTGGAGTCCTTTCACAACATTCAGATGTAAAATCTGCTGTGCTAACGAGGCCAGTAATTTCACCTTGGAATTTCATCAATGAAAACACTAATATACTTTTTCCGATTACTAGTAACTTGCGTTTGTCACTTGAAAGTATAATGGATGGTACACTTATTAGCTAAGCTATCAGTTATCATTTACTTATTTCGGACTAAGGTAAAATAAGATTTTTGAAAAGCCACTTTCTCAATTCAGTAGAATGAATACAGGAAACTTTTAATGCACACGACAACTACAAACTATGTAGGGATTTGAATGCAATTCACTTTGTCGATAGAATATGAGGCTCAGTTACTTAAACGGTGTATTGAAGATTCAGGCGAATTGGATCTTACTCTAACTGTTGCGAAGGTTTCCACTTCGTCATCAGTTAATAAAAACTTCATTTTACCCCAAGATATGTTCATCTTCCTATTCCCTTATTTTCTGTTGTGACCTGAGCTTCCGAAAATCATTTAAGGAGTGTTGGTCATCTGGACACTGAAGTGAGGTGATCGAATCACAACTACTAACCCAACTGAGTTCATCAATGTAATACTCTTTCTGAACGATGACCTTCCATGATCTCACCAATATCGAGGCTGATCACTGAAGTAGCTATTGCAGAGATTAGAAACCAATAGTCATTACACTACTCAAACTGAAAGTTTAGATTTGTTATATCGATAATACTTTTATAATTATCAAAACAAGTGAATTAAAAAACACGTTCAATCTCATCAACTAAACATTTGAAGGCATTCAATTCACAAAAAGAAGAAAATAACGAACTGGCGTTCGTAAAGTTTCATGTCAATAGAATATAGAATGGAACCTTAAGGACTTAAGTGTACAACAAAGTGACACACACAGACTAAGTTCTGAACCTCAAAGGTAACATGTCAACTTCTCACAAGAAGGGTTGCGTAGAAGCACTTCCGCACATGCTAAGATTCACTACAGCTCTCTACAACTCAGAAAAAGCCACATTTACTCAGTATTCACAATCAATAACCAACCAATCAACTTCATCAGGAAATGCCTATCAACAGAACACACATGTGGACAATTACCACAACCTAAAAAATGAATCAATTCGCCATGCATCAACCGTGTCTCAGAAACAGTTTACTGGTTATTTCTCCCACTCAATATCAGTGTGGTATCAACAAAATCCCTACAAAAGTATTATACAAGCTGAACGATCTGTTATCCAGAGAAGACGACAAGACAATTATAGTCTAAAAAGTCATCTGCAAGGACTGTCAGTATCATTATTCTGGTCATTTCAGCCATTGAACAGGTCGATTAATTTAGAAACATGAACTTGCAGTCACAGGATCGGAAAAGCAAGACAGGCATTCATTAATCTGAAACTGGTGTGAGGATCTACTGCACTCAACACAAAGGACAAGATATGGATTTTCAACACCAATGTCAAGTCAGTGCTGCTACATGATGGTTGAGAGACTTGGCGCGTCACGAAAAGCATTTCCAACAAACTACAGACATTCATCAATAGCTGCCACCAACGCTCACTCCATACTGACACTGAGGATCAGATGGCCAGAGTAGTAAGAATAAGCAACAAGGATGTCTGGCTGGCTGGTTGGCTGGCGACGAACCAACCAATAACCCATCGCCCGACAAATATGCAGAAGGAAGTCGAGATGCATTGGGCATACACTAAGGAAACCATTAAGGGACATCACGCTCCAGGCCAGGCCCTGAAGTGGAATCCAAATGGGAAACGACGAGTTGGGTATCCCAGGTGAGGGTGACATGGAGGAGATCATGTGAGGAAGAAACTGAAGCTTGTGTGCAGTGGTGGGGCGAGGTTCAAATGACTGCAGAGAATAGAGTGCAGTGGAGACGTGCTACTTAAGCCCTATTTTCCACTAGGAACCTAGGAGACAAATAATATAATAATAATAACTTACAGTCAAGCTAAATGATACATGTCCTCATTGACATCGATATTTGTTGATGAACTCAAACACAGCTTTGACTGGCACAATGTGGAAGTACCGCACCAAGCAAACTCTGAAACTACATGAGAATTCTTAAGAGTATACTACTCCAACACAAATGGCTGTCAACAGACGCGTAGATGTTGCCCAAATATATGGACTACTAAGAAGAGATCAGCCAACAGGAAATCAATAAAGCAAATTAACAGTAAAATGCTCGGTCGATAGCATAAGTCAAACGATACCAATAACTATAAAGGTCAACCTCTGATAGAAAGAAAACGAATCCATCCCCACTTACTAACCATGAAGGCTCAAGGTCGGCAGATATCTGACACAAACAACCATGTAACTTGAAACGCTTCACTTGTACACAAAATAAACGCTGACAAAGCTGCCCAGCCTGGTGGTGAAGCATCCAAGAACAAACCTCAAAGCTCAGGTAACATTAAGCAATTATCATCCCCATCATGAGGTACGGGTCTTCTCTGAACAAGAAGGTTCTTGAGACAGGGTGACTCATGTTCAACTATAGCACCCCTTATCGCTCAATTGTTACTTCTTTGTAACCACGCTGGATAGTATTCTTAAACCTTCTTGTATAACAGCGGCATCGAACGACCTATACACCTGGCTTCACAAGAGAAGGTAAACTGATATATGCGGACAGAAGTAGTCAGATGCGAAACGGTTTTAAAACAGTCATCAACCAGTCATTGTTATAGGCCTTAGTGTGAGCGAAGTTGATTGTTCAGGTTTCTATGTCTCCACCAAGCTAAGCAATAAGACAAGACAATCCACTTAGTTTGTGTGTAATAAATCAGGAGTCATGTTTGCGACTGCTTTTGAATATTTCAGTTGTGCATAAAAATATGAGAGCATGAGTAAATGTCATTCGAAATATAATTATGCATTGTCTTATATCGCGTTCATCTTAAATCGTATCACTCTCTTTTGGGGTATGCTTTTTCTTTTGTCATATCCAGCCTACATTTTCGCCGATATCGTAACTGATACGAAAAAGGAAATAATCAAATGGTCTGGATTACCAAGAATGTTCAAAAATCTTCTTTTACATTATAACACTAAGCTGTCTGGATTTGTCAAAGCATGTGGTAAAACAAAAGAATTCGATTTGCCGATTACACACCAAGAAAATGGTACGTCTTGGCAAAATTATGATTGGTTTCACTGTTAACACTCCATACTTTCTGATTCGTTGTACAATTAGATCAATAAGGCAAGGTGTGTGTCACTGTTTCTTGTCAGATCAAGAAAAGGTTTACCAAATAAAAAAGCAGTCCTCTGTAAATTTTGTTATCGCAATCCAACATGGTAATAAGTTCACAATACAAGTCTACAATTTTTAAGATAGGATTTATCATGGACTGAAGTCATTTGCAGAACCATTGAAAACCTGCGTGCTGTTGAGGAGTCCCATGCTAGGACGAAACTGCTACCCATTGCTTCGAGGTTTTCACTGGTTGACCAACTGATGTCGGTCTGTGATGAATGCTATTTTAAAAATGAAACCTCTATTAACCTCAAAATATACTACTTACTATTCTCCAGTTTTTGTTACTTTCCTCTGTGCCTGATATATCAGGTTCACGTTCTTGGGCTGAACAAACCAGTTAACTCAAGAAATAAAGCCGATTTAGGGGGAAGAACAATTTATCGTCTGGCTATATTATTTAGCCAAAAGACTTATAGTTTCCTACAAAACCATACAGTTGCAATGATGAACAAAGTAACAGGGTCTCAGACTTGTGACATAGTACTCACACAACAGAAAGCCCTCAGTATAACCTAATACTGTCAAGCAGCTAACTGAAGAAAGCATGTTAATCAGTTTGATCGTCAATTTCCATCCAACCAGATAATAGTATACATATGAAATTTATAGAGATGAGTCGATTAGGATTTTGTAGACTAAAGATTTTGGCATGTGACAAAATAAGCCTAATACTGTCAGAATATGTCATTATTTGGAAGAAGGAAAACTGATAACACGGTTGTTTGAACACGGTGCACCCTCTCGCTATCTCATCACCTTTCTCTCAGTTACGTATAGGCCACTTTAGAATGATTTATTGAAATTTAAAAAAAAGTTAACAAACTTAAAAATTCGAGGACGAATATTAAGGAGTGAAATAATTGATCGGAAATGAGGGTCTTTATGTGGATTTGTGGAGGCAGTTCTGAAATTATCATGAAAATGTCAGCTGCTTGGGCAAGACAATAGGAAATTAATTACTAGAAGAATGCAATAATAGACTCATATTAAGGGAGACAAAATAGTGGAAGTTGTTACCTATGAAGGTTAACTGCTGTTTCGATCTAACGTAGAAATGTTAGCTTTCAGGCAGAGTTTATAAACTGAGACGAATTCAAATATATTTCACTTTGATTATTTTAAATGTGCTTCTTACATGAACTTCATGTTCCTTATTCAATAAGTGATGAGTGACCAAGACAATGATATATTTGGTACCATGTTGTATTGAAATAATGTTTCAAACTTTCTCAGCGTTCATCATCTATTGAACTGAAAAAATGCTCATTTTAAAGTTGGCTACTTTTTATTTACTTAGAGAAACATGTATGAAATTGGACAGAATGCTTTGTTATATGATAAATTCATCATATTCTGGATGTTTTGTTGCCCTTGCTTTGTTCAATTACATGCACAGGACCAGAATTTTGGTGTTTGAGTTTATAAGAATATCGTTACTGTAAAATGGAAAATCACTCAATTTCAATCCATGACGAAGTCATTTGGTTTCATCTTATAACTTGTGATTAGACCAGCAATTCATTTCACCGCAGTGAATCAGTCTTATATTACTTAACCGAGAATAATGCTATTGTAAAGAGATTAGGAACTATTCGTTTGTATTAGCAGCAGCAATTGATTTTTGTTTTGCCTAAGTACTTCTTTAATTGAACCGGTTTTTTTAATACCCAGTAGGAATACATGAAATCCACAGAATAAGCACTGGTCTAACCACTCCTAGGGCAAGGATCACTTTTATTGCGGAAAGAATTTTTCTCTTGCCTTCAACTTGTCATACTTACTGCCTAACCCCAGCTATTCATATAGGTAGTTTTCAATAGTTGATGAAATGACATTTTGTACTAGAAAATAAACCGAATTTGAACCAGTTGAAGGGGTGGTTTTCCTTTAGTTGAAAAATCTCTAACTAAATTTATCAGTTTCTTATGTTTTTAGAAATTTTCAAGTTGGAAAATGTAGAGATATCGCTGTGTATATTTTGCTCAACACAACCAATTCACTTTAGAAGTTTGTGGGGATTTATTGATTTCAAGTTGGTATTCATCATCAGTAAAACCCGTGAACCTGCAGATCAAGGTAATCTAGTACTCACTGGTGACTAGCCCCAAGAGATGATTGCCGGACTTCCGACGAGAATTCGTGACCGGCTAGGCAAACCTGATGGACATGAGGACAAATACTCAACGATGATGTTGGGTGATAATCACGCTATGTCATGAACTGACAGACGTTGGAAATATGGACCATTAGATTACGTGTGGGCGACGGAAACTGAAGGCCCTGGGTAAGATCCCTGGCGGGGTCATGGGTGCGCGCCGTCGGGGAATCCCATGCTGTAACAAAACAGCCGTCCAGTGCTCACAGGTTTCCAATGTTCCTCCAGTTGAATTCAGTCTACTACGAATACGAGCTTGATAACAAATTCAGCCGGGGCAAACCAAAGGTTTACGGTATCAAATGTAATCACTGAACTGGAGACCGTTTGAGGATAAAAGAACGGGTTTCTTGCAGTTAGTCGACCTATGGTAATACATAATATCCTGTTGACTACCTCAAAGCATCTGAATTATGATTTACTTAAACAACATACATATGCCCAGTATCATTACAATTCTATCAAACGAGGGCTATCTCAGATAGTTGAAATGATCATCAATACAGTTCTCACCTCTCTAATTTAAATGGAATTGGGTTAGGATGAGAAGCCCTGACTAGACAACCAGTCTGATTATGATCAAGCGATAATAACGCATCATTAATTCGCATGGTGGTTCAGCAAAACTGTTTGTGATTGAAGTGAAATAAAAAAATGTGATCAGAAGTTGGGTCTCGTAGCTCAGTTGATAGAGCACCGGATCGGAAACTCGGTGGTTACTTTTTCGAATCCCGCCGTGGCACAAATTTTCATTTCACCTTCAATTATCACCCAGTATCAGTATACATAGGAGACAAAATACCTTAACTCCTATTGATCATCAGTAATAATAAGAGTACTCTGTAAATTAGTGTCAACCCTCCCTAATCATGATGATTTATAGTGAAATACGATGCTTTTGCTAAGTATTTAGTATGATTTATATTATCCTCACTACTACTACTACCTAAGATACTTTTCCTCTGGATATTATCATTATCAGTTAGTAGGCAAGTTAGTTTGTTCGGGAAGTGAGCCATTTACTCACGACATTTTCCACTTAATGATTGCATTATTGGGCTGCCTTACGGTGATAGATTAAGTCTTTTCGCCACAGAAAATGCAAAAAAGAGGGAAGGAAATGATTTTGTTAAGTGATAAATTTATATTGGTATTTCTAAATCCTACAATGTTGCTGTGCAACAAACTTCAAACGATCTGTTTACACGCATACCTGTTTCAGGTATTTATATAAAGGATAACAGATAGTTTAGAGGGTGAGGAAGTGAATCAGGTAGAAAATGATAAAATGAAATTGAAGGCCAGAATGACAATGAATAAGCCAAAATTAACTAAGGAAGGTGTAACATGATGACCAAATATGTATGAACATGTGACGATTGTTTAAAGGTTTGACAACTATGGCTCCGATAAATTGGAGGATTTTCACCCAATATCTATAAGTGAGTTTAAAAGATCTAAAAAAACGTTAGTTCGATAACTTGTCTTGGAAATATATCTCTCAAGTGAATAGCTGATACGTTTATTACTAGCACTGATTCTATGATGTGATTCTATCTGTTTTTCAACCACATGGATAAGTATTACAAGACCCTTATTTACAAGGATCGATGAATCCCGTCTGCGTGTGTTACCACGCGTTGTTAAATATAACAAAATGTATTATGATCATTCACAAGTTAGGAGGGCATGGAACAATTTATAGAGTTAATGCTTTTTACTATCCTATCCCTAACTGCACTAGGTTTTTGTCTCAGTGACAAACCATGACAGTCACTCCTCTATAAAAGTTTGATAATAAAAAAAGGATAATAACTCATGAGAATTTTGAAATGTCCCCTTTATATGGTTTAATTATCTAATGAAGACATCTGGTTTAGTTACATTGTACACTGGATACAATGGCACATATATTTGGTTTTTTTCACAATGAACTTTATATTGATGCAGTCATCTGAATCAACGAATTTAGGGGGTAAAGTTTGCTGCGGTAGATTCTAATGCACAGGAATAATAGATCATGGAGTTGAAATAAACTACATGAGACTACTCTGTTAGACAAGCAAATTTTTTTGGTTTTTATCAGTCCTATCATTAGAAGTTGACATTTTAAGTGGGGTCAAGTTTTCTGCTACGTCATCAATTTACGTCGGCATGTCTTTGTCAGTTATTTTGAACTAATGAATATGCTTCAGTAAATACGTTGGTTGGTCACTGCAGGGTAACCAACTTCATGTTGTTTAGTCCTGTTGCTGATCGAATTCTATCGATCATTTTTCAGTTTGGCCACCAAGTTAGGAGATTCATCACTGCAACTCATTAACACAGATGCTATTTGGATAGAAACAATTGTTAGGAAGCTTTGGACCTAGGTTTCTTGATTTCGGCACTCGTCAGCAACGCTTGTCTGCAACCTTGACGGAAATGATGTTCTGTCTTTGCAGCCATATTGCAAAATAATCTATGAAATTCGATCAGTACTTGGAACTTGACAACATGAAGTTGGTTACTCTCCAGTGCAAACAGTCAAGTCCTATAGAGGGTCGACCAGGGACTGAATAGCTCGATGGTAACATCCCCGACTGCAGTACTAGGTGAAGTAGGTTCGAATAGCATATGGGAAATCAGTTTCGTAGGTGTTGCAGATGTGTCTTACTGATGAGTGCGAAAATGCACGGCTTCCTGCTGATTGCCTCCATCCAACTAAC